TAATTCGAGGCTCTTGATTGGACAGACATAGAGATTATAATATCAGGAATAATGAGAATATACCTCAATAAATTTTCATTTTATTGTCTCCATATATTTTTCATTGAATCTCTCTTATATCATTATCTTTTTCATCATTCCAGGCTTTTGATTAGTCAGAGACAAAAATTACAGAACCACTCAAGCGCCGAGAATAATCAAAATGTTTCTATGTTATGATTGGTTCAAATATGACACTGACTTGACTCTTTTTGTTATTGTTGAGGTGATAAAAAGAAAGGTCGATTCACACAATACAACACAATATGAAAATGCGTACCAGTTTTATGATTGGTTAAGTGTGGGTTCGAGCAGGTTAAAGTAGGTTAGATTAGGTTAGAGTTGATGAAATTGACAGATGACATTGACAGGTGATTGAAATATGACAGGTAACGTCATCTCCTCCGGAGGACGGAGGACGCAGAACCGGCCATATTACACTACTATATCTCCAACTATAACTACCTGGTCGTCAACAAAAAAGAGAATGAAAGGTATATCCTCTCCTATCGGAAATCCCATGCCGCTACATTTCCTTTTTCGAGATTTCAGGACACTCTTAATATATAAATTTTTGAAAGCAGTGGAACAAGGGAGCAGCCTTGCCTTCCTTTTGTTGCTGGGAATTTTTTGGAAAGTTGTCGATCTTGTCTGACTGAGCTGTATATCCTATTGACAATCCGTAGTCCAAAGATAAACGTAAATTTATCACCTTTCACTATCAAATAGCACTGGAAGGTGATACATTTTACCTTTACCTTTGGACATCGGTTTGTGAATGGATAATATGTATTGGTATACAGAGCTTTGACAGCATTCACATATCAGTTGCTTATTCCATTTAGAGCGAGTATTATAAAACTATTTTAACTGCAAAAAGTTAACTTGTGGAATTTCTATGGGAAATAACGTCATTCCAGAAGTTAACTATCAAAAAAGTTTTATAATATCCACCCTTAGACGCAGTGGCATCGTGTCATATATAGGCTTTCTGTAAGTCTACAAAGGTTAAGTGAACTTGTCTACCTCTATCTTAAGAGTAAACACTCCATTATCTATACAAGAACGCCCTGCCCTGAAACTATTTTGTTCCTCAGCTTCTTGAAACTCGAATTCTATTCTGTTTTTATCTAAATACCTCCGCACATAATCTGTCTACTGAGCTTGTGACGGAGATCCCTCAATAGTTTTTACAGTCCAATCTGTTTCCTTTTTTGAAGATCGATGAGATTAACCCTTCAGTTCTCGAAGACATTTGCTCTATTAGTTTTACTGGGGCAGCTTTCAACAGTTCGATATTTAGGTTGCCAGGCCCAGAAGCCATTCTGTTTTTCACATGAGTCAGTGCTGGGATCCAGGCATTTATCTGGCCGTTTTTATTTTCATCAGTTAAAAATTATCATCAGTCAATGGAAATTATCGATAATTTTTCGGAAATTTGCCCGAATGCATTTTCAGTTAAAAACGCATGAGTGCAAACTGCAAATTTGTGGAGAATTATAGATATATTTCCATTGCACGAGTTGTATTTTATGAGAGAATTGAGAATTTCATGGATCAAAAATTTAATTTCAACATTGAAAATATTTTTATTATCACACGGGTACGCAGTATGGGGTGCCAAATTCGAAATTCTTGTGTTGCATTTGTTCCATACGTCACAGAGTCGAACGTCACCAAATTAAAACGATCCGAAGCGAACCGAACGGAACTGTTCCGTTCCAAACAGAGCTGCTCCAAACGGTTCGAACTGTTCCGAACGATTCAAACTGCTCCAAACAGCTCGAAATTGCTCCGAACGCTTCAAATTGCTACTCCGAGCAGCTTAAAGCTTCTTCGGACGGTTCAAACTGCTTCGAATAGCTCAAAACTTCTCCGGACAGTTGAAACAGTATGATAATGCTCCGCACACGCACAGTTCACACAACTCCGAACAGTTCGAATTGTTCCCAACAGTTCGAACTACTCTGAACTGCCCCGAATAGTTCGAGCCGCTCCGAACAATTGTCAATTCTTAGTTTCATGGCATAGCGTGACGGTGTCAGGCGCCATTTATTTATTATTTAGAGGTCAGATTTTATGTAGTTTTTTTTACTTGTGACAACAACCTTGGGGTAGATCTGAACGGAGTAGCTTGAACTCTTCCTTCGCAATAGCTCTGTTCGGTACACTTGTTCGGAAAAGTTCGAATTTTTTGAACTGTTTGGAGCAGTTTGAACTGTTCAGTACATCTTTGTAAAGGACTGTGAATTTTTTCTCATTCCACTTTATTTCTGTTTCTTTCCTATTTATTGAAGCTCTTTGCCATTCAAGCGCCGGGAATTATCAAAGTTTGTCACTATTTAATGTATCCAAATTTATTTCTGTTTTTTTTTTTAACTGTTAAGTTTTTTGTGTCATTTTCTTTGTCCTACTTGCCTACTCTAGGTTTTTTATTGGCCAGATACAAAAATGACATACGAGCTCACTAAAGCGCCGAGAAAAATAAGTTTTTTCTTATCTCACTTTATTTCTATTTCTTTCTTATTTATTGAATTTTTTATATTGCTGTCTCTTTATTATTCCAACCTCTTGGCCACTTAAGCCCCGGGAATAATCAAAAGTTTACGTTACTATTTAATCTATCCTACTTTATTTCCGTCCTTTTCTTAACCGAAACTTACGTACAAGCTCACTCAAGCGCCGAGAATAATTACATTTTAATATTGAAAATGTATATCGCACGAGCACGTAGTATGGGGTACCGATTTCGCAATTCTGGTGTTGCATTTTTGTCATACGTAACAGATTCGAACGACACCAAATGAAAACAATCCCTAAAGCGAACCGAACATAATGTTTCGTTCCAAACAGAGCTGCTCCGAACGGTTCGAACTGCTCCAAATAGCTCGAAATTGCCCTGAACGGTTTAAAAACGGTTCAAATTGCTCTAAAGGGTTTAAACTGTTACGGAAATGTTGCGTTACGAACAAAGCTGCGCCAAACGGTCCATACTGCTCCGAACAGCTCAACATTTCTTCGGACAGTTGAAACTCCAAACAGTATGATAATGCTCCAAACAAACAGTTCACACTGCTTCGAATAGTTCAAGCTCCTCCAATTCTTAGTTTCATGGCATAGCGTGACGTTGTTAGGCGCCATGTATTTATTGTTTAGAGGTCAGATTTTATATAGTTTTTTTTTTTACTTGTGACAATAATCTTGGGTTAGGTCTGAGCGGAGTAGTTCGAACTCTTCGCAATAAATCTGTTTGGTACACCTCGGTTTGGTGCAATTCGAATTGTTCGGAGAAATTCGAATTGTTTAGAGGATTGTTCGAAGCAGTGCAAATTGTTTGGAGCAGTGTAAACTGTTCGGAGCAGATTGAATTGTTCAGCGCAGCTTTGTCTGTTCGGAACTAGTTGGGGCAGCTCTTCGGAGCAGTTTATCTTGTTTGGGTTACTTTGGTGGATTCGAAAATTAATGTTTGACTTATGTCAGATCCCACAACAGTCACAAGCGTTAAACTCTGCTTCGGCATTTTCAATGTCTCCCCGGTTGGACTGTGAATTTTTTTGTCAAAAAATGTCAAAACACCAGTTCTCGCACCAATTACTATGCAATTATCCGATAATTTGCACTAGTGCAAATTATCACGTAATTCCAATTTGATTGGTTCAAATGAACAATCAAAACATGTCAGTTTATTGTTGGAATGCTAGTTTTGACAGATGTATGAAATTCTCACTGAAATGTATCTCAATAAAGGAACTACAATGCCTGAGAATGACAGCGCATTTACACATATAGCTCCTGAGATAAAATCATGTTAAGCAGTTTGGGGTAATTTATCAATTTTGGGGGATGTTAATTGACCATTAGGATACAAAATCTCAACAAAAAAAAAATTGAAATTTTATCGTTTTAGTAAGAAGGACCTTATAATTTAGATTTTGAAAAACTTTGGAAGGGCATAAGTTTTTTTTTCTATTATAAATAGAAAACTGAAATTTTCACTGAAATTTATCTCAATAAAGGGACTACAATCCCTGAAAATTTCAGCTCATTTGCACTTATAGTTCCTGAGATAAAATCGTGTTAGGCAATTTGGGGTGATTTATCAATTTTTCAATTTTTCTGAGTGCCTTTTTTCATAGATTTCGGCTTCAAATCTGCGAATAACTTAGTGTATGGAGTTTGGGGGATGTTAATTGACCATTAGGATACAAAATGGTTAATCTTCTATTAGTAGATCTTTCTCCATATTTTAAGATCTATGAGGTTTACACCCGCTGAATCAATGTTCCTTTATCTATCTCTTAATTCAATTTATGATAGCTTGCATTTAGAATTGGATAAATTAGTCTGAACATAAATTTTTAAAAAGCTCTTCCATATCTATGCTCCAATTTCACCTAACAACGAAGAAAATCCAGAAATTTTTCTTGAAGAACTTATCAACAGCCATTTGAGCGTCAGAATGTCTCAATACAAAATTAACAACTTTGAATACGGAACCAGACGAGGCTCAACAAATATCTAGAAAAACGAAAATCCCAACAGAAAATGGCCCTGGGTATCACGAGATAATATGATACGACTACTTTCCCTGTGAAACTAGATAAATTTATGACACATATTGACCATAGAGTTCTAAGAGCCAAAATACAACTTGAGGCCAATTTTGGTTTCAGAAATAGACAGACTACAAGTGGAACTCAGAAATACAAACTCATCAAACTGACCATATGATATCACTGGAGACAAATAGCTGGATAATGGAAGGAGGAGGAATAAACCACACCAACCACTTAATCCTCTAGATTATTCAGTACTTATGTAGAATGTCTCAAGCCAATAGCTTATAGTTCACGAGGAAGACCAATGTTTACATAAATTGAGAATAAACTTTAGGACTTTGTTTTTAAACCAATCAGCATGAAATTGTTCTTAAAACCTTATATTGTCCATCAAGTACTTACCAGCAATAGTGTTCAAAAACATCAGATACTCGAAATTCGAGATCTCGCGCCTCTGCCACTTCTGCGTCATGTTTGAGTTTCTCATTAGCTGTCTCGACGACATCATGCTGGCCTTCCTCGTTTGCGGTATGCCGTACTTGATGCCCACACCCACTCTGGGCAGCGCTTTGATGACTTTTTTGACAGTATTTTGATCCGGAAACGCAAACATAATAGATGCTAGAAAAAATTATATAAGTGAGTATTCAATTTTTCCATCAGACAATTAATCAAACTTACTTCTGCTGGCCAAAAATATTTCAATGGCATTGTTTTGCAAAAGGTATCGTCTAGAAAATATCGCCCTGACTTCGGAAAAGTACCATTTGCCGTGAAGATGATCGCAGTATTTGAGGACCTGGAACAATAAATTTGAATGAATTGTCAATAAATCGTATTGCCATTGCGCTGATAAGTCAATTTCTATAATGCACAAACCCATAAATAATAGCCATTTTGTTTTACGTTCATGGTATAGAAAACACGATTTATATTTGATAGGTTTATATATAGATGATTCTATTGAAAACAGTGGCGGATCATGACTATTTCAAGTGAGGAGGCTAAAAGATTTTCAGTGATTTTGAGTAGATCTTACGAGTTTTTCTGGGATTTTGACCAACTTGTATACAAATTTACCAACTAATTTAGGGGAGCCTTAACGATAAATATTCCATGGAAATTTTTGTTAATTCCATAGAAATTCCTCAGAATTTCACTAGAAGATTTTATGGAAATCCTCGAAATTCCATTCAAATGACAAATTTGAATAGAAAAACAGAAAGTCCTAGAAATTTTATCATAAGATTTCATAATACTTTTCCGTATTCCAAGCACCATAAAATTCAATGAAATTCTTGTACAAAAATTCCTCGGAATTACAGTAGAAGATTTCATGGAAATTTCGACAGAAATTACTCAGAATTTCACTAAAATTTAATTCAAGTTTTCGGAATTCCGCCGAAATTTTTCGTGGTTCCATGGAAATTCCACGAAAATTCTGTTTAATTCCGAGGGAATTTTTCGGTTTCGATATAATTTCACTGGAATTCCACAATAAGATTTCAAGGAATTCCATGTAGGTGTAATTCGACGAGAATTCCTTAGAATTTGTCCAACATCGAACACAATCTTCCAAATTCCCTATAAATTCCCCAAGTTTTTAACAAAGAATTCCAAGGTGGTTTTGCCTCTTGGAAAATACAGTCTCGCACTTTCAAAGTTTTTCTGGAAAACTAATTGGGGGAAAAACCTCTCGAAGATTTCATCAAAGTTCTTTGGAATTCCATTAAAATTGTAAGTTATTTCATAGAAATAAATACCTTAACATTTCATTAGAAGATTTTATGGAATTCTTGGACAAATTTTTTTCGGAATTACAGTATGGGATTTCATGAAATTCCTCGGAATTCCACTAAGATTTCAATTTGAAAATTCCTAATTTTTTTTTTTTAACTTTACTAAAATTCCTCAAAATTTTACCACTGAAATATCTTGGAATTCCACAAAATTTTCATAAAATTCTATGGAATTTCATTGACATTTCATGTAATTTCTTAAAAATTTCTCGGAATTCACTAAAATTTTAATTAAAATATCCACGTTCATAACATAACCGAAAATTTCTCGAAAGTCCAATGAAACTTCAAGGAATTTTCAAAATTTAATTTATTTTCATAAGAATTTTTCGGAATTTCACTTAAATTTTCTTTTAATAGCCAGGAATTTCTGGGAATATTAAAGAAGTTTCAAGTAATATCTTTAAAATTCATCGAAATATATTGAAATTTCATGGTAATTTTTCGGAATATCACCGAAATTCCATGTTTTTAGCTGGAAATTCCTCGGCAGTACTAAAATTCAGTAAAAACTGAAATTTCATGTTGAGAATTTAGGTGTAATATCATGTAATTGTTTAAAATTCCTCCATGTAATTCATTTAGGATTTCGTGTAATTCGATCGGAATTTCACTGAAATTTCAAGTAATTCGAAAGGAATTAAAATTTAATGTGAATTCTATGGAAACTCTGCAAAAATTTCTCATGTAATTCCTTTTTCAGAATAACATAATTATTCTACCGAAATTCCACTAAATTATGGAATTCAGAGATTTTAACAGATTTTTGGAGATTCCAAAGGATATTTGGGAATTTTAAAGGAAATATTTTTCAGAAATGTCAATGATTGAATGTGGGATACTCAGTAATACCGGCCCGAAGGGCCGGAGTTATATGCGAGCCCGAAGGGCCGGAGTTATATGCGAGCCCGAAGGGCCGGAGTTATATGCGAGCCCGAAGGGCCGGAGTTATATGCGAGCCCGAAGGGCCGGAGTTATATGCGAGCCCGAAGGGCCGGAGTTATATGCGAGCCCGAAGGGCCGGAGTAATACGAGCCCGAAGAGCTAGAGTTATACGCGAGCCCGAAGGGCCGGAGTTATACGCGAGCCCGAAGGGCCGGAGTTATACGCGAGCCCGAAGGGCCGGAGTTATACGCGAGCCCGAAGGGCTAGAGTTATTTTAATCACGGGACTCAGTCTATAATTCTATTGGTCAGCGGATAATTTAGAGCCAATTAAAAACCAGGAGTATTTAAAATGCGATTTTTAGCGTCCGATCAAAGAGCCGGGAATATTCAAAAACTTTAGTTTTATCAACTTGATTTTGGAATGTTGGTTTTCCTGAGATTTTTACTTTTTTCAGAAAACGGTGGTTTTTGCAAACATATACTACTTTATCATTGTCTTTGTTTTACTCACTATAATCAATAAGTATACCTTATAATGTCATTTTCATTGATTTATTAATTTCATTATTAATAAATTATCAAATTGAATTTTAAATAAAAAACTTTCAAAATGTTATTTTTGTTTTCGGAGATGAGATGTGGCAACGTTGCTTTTAGTTGGCCATTTTGGAGTGACGTCTTGTGATTTTTTGCCAGTTTTTTTCCCGAATTTTCGATTTTCCGGAGTTTTTTAATGGAAAAAAGCGATTTAACATACGAAGCTTTGAGGTTTCTTCATTTTTTAGTAAAAATTTCTAGTTTTAAATAACATAATTAGCAAAATCCCATTTAAAATGCTTTTGATGTGGCAAAATCGCTTGTGGCTAAATTCAATCAAAGAAGCATTTTTGACAGTCGGCCATTTTCAATTGACGTGTTTACATTTTTATTCAGTTTTTCTTCGAATTTCCACTTTCACGGGGCTTTTTCAGTGAGGAAAACTGATTTAAAGTACGAAGCTTTGAGTTTTCTTCATTTTCCACCAAAAATTTACAATGTTTTAACGGGGTAAGTGAGAAAAACTTTGATTTATCAAGTAGGTTTTGGAATGTCATTTTTGTTGGTTTTTTTTTGGAATTTTTATTTAAGGTTTTTGGGGTCCGGGGATCGTTTTCTACCACTTTTTTTCTCGAAATTCGCAAAATTAAAAAAAAAACTTTTTTGACGTTGACAGCTGTCAATTTTTTTTTTGACACAAATCGATAGTTGGCGTTGTGAAACTGCCTTGCACCGGGGTTTGATTTTCGTAGCTTTTATAGTAGAGCTGGGAAAAAGTCAAACATGTGTCAAATTTGATAGGTGACATTTGCCGATATTGCCAAAGTATCGTACGACAAAAGTTTTATCCGAACGAACCCGTTCATTATTAATTGATTTTAATACTCCGGCCCTTCGGGCCGTAATCTTTGAAACAAAAAGACGTCATTTTGTATCGATTGTCAAAAAAACCCAAGGTTTGAAATTTCAATTTTTTGACGTTTGTTGTATCATGAACAGTGTTGCCATATGTTTTTTTTCGAATCTCGATTCTGGAAGGCTGAGGTTATCTCAATTATGAGCTGAAAGGGCCGAGGTTATACGAGTCCGAAGGGCCGGAATCATGCGAACCCGAAGGGCCGGAGTTATACGAGCCCGACAGGCCGGAGTTGTTTCAATCATGAGCCCGAAGGTTCGAGGTTATACGAGTCCGAAGGGACGGAGTTATACGAACCGGTTGATTGTTAACTGATTTTAATACTTCGGCCCTTCGGATAGTAATCTTTGAAACAAAAAGACGCCGTTTTATATCGACTTGCAAAAAAACCAAGGCCTACTTTGATATTTCAATTTTTTGACGTTTGCCATATGTTTTTATCAAGTCTCGATTTATAGGTTATTTTATAACAGATTTTTGTCGTGGAGGCGCGGGATTGATTGAAATAATGTCGTCAGATTTTTCTAAATTACATTGAAATATCGAAAATTGGAATTCTGTTGTGTAATTTGTGAATTATTATGTTAATTAGAAATCAGGAATAAAAAATTGAGATTGAATTTTCAATTTTTTGGGGAGGTTTAGCCTTCCCTGCCTCCTTTGACGAGCCGCCACTGATTGAAAATGTATATATATGACCAATAGAATTATAGACTGAGTCCCGTGATTAAAATAACTCTAGCCCTTCGGGCTCGCGTATAACTCCGGCCCTTCGGGCTCGTGTATAACTCTAGCCCTTCGGGCTCGTATTACTCCGGCCCTTCGGGCTCGCGTATAACTCCGGCCGTTCGGGCCGGTATTACTGAGTATCCCACATTCACAGATTTTTGTCGTTAGGGCGCGGGATTGATTGAAATAATGTTGTCAGATTTTTCTAAATTACATTGAAATACCGAAAATTGGAATTCTGTTGTGTAATTTGTGAATTATTATTTTAACTAGCTAATGACCCGCTGCGTTGCCAGCATGTAAATACATTTTGAAATAATACACTTCTTTTCAAATTTTGTTGTTGATTTTCTATTTATTTATTTTTTTTTTAATCCGATATCATAGTCGCTTGCCAGTGAGTTCAGTGACGCATTTTAAGCACTCCATGGCCGGTATTCTGGTTCTCGAAAACGCTCACCGCTTTTTAGTCGCTCGGCACTTCTAATGCAAATTTACTTTGAAAGTGCCGAGCGATTAAAAAGCGGTGAGCGTTTTTGGGAATGAGAATACCGGCCCAGAGCTGCTCTAGAGCGCCCCGAGCTGTTAATAGGCGTTCCAGTGTATCAGAGTTTTACGCAACCGAACTTCTTTTTTCGGGATAAAAAATAGCCTATATCACTCTCCTCTATAGCCGATTCGATTGACCGGATTAGATCCATATGGTTCAATTTAAGTGAACCACACTGTGTTCGATTCAAGCTGGATCAGTGCACCCTCATCAACAAAAAAATGATCTAGATCAGGAGAAGTTCACTTAAATTGAACCCAAATCGATCTAATCTGGGTCAATCGAATTCACCTTATATAGAGATACGTGGTATTAATTCAATATCAGTCCAGCCGCTCTTGAATTCAAAAAATAATAAAGTTACGTCGGTTGAATGCAAGC